CTTGATTTTCCTCTTAAGAATGTCCCTACTCCCTTTACACTGTTCAAGAGATTCACTTGTTCCCAATTGTCTGTACCTGACATATACCTCCTTACTCTTAGCCAGAGCATCGATATCTCTATTCATCCATTGTTCCCTACTCCTACCAGCCTTACCTTTCAATCTAACAGGAACTTACTGCCTCTGAACTCTCACTTTTGAAAGCCTCCTGCTTGCCAGTCATCCCTTTATCTGCAAACAGTCTAATCCAATCAACTTTTGAAAATTCCCGTCTCATACCATCAAAGTTGGCCTTACTCCAATTTAGTACCTTTTATATACAAGGTCTATCCTTTTCCATAACTATTTTCAAACTAATAGAATTATGGTCACTGGTCCAAAATGTTCCCCGACTAACACGTCAGTCACTTGCCCTAGCTTATTTCCCAAGAGAAGGTCAAGTTTTGCTCCATCGCTAGTAGGTACGTCTACATGTTGATAAAGAAATTTTTCTTGAACACATAACAAATTCCTCTCCATCTAAGCCCTTAACACAATGGCACTCCCAATCTATGTTTGGAAAGTTAAAATCCCCTACTATTATAACCCTATTATTCTTACACATATCTGAGATCTTTGTTTATATTTGCGCCTCAGTTACCTTTTTTTCTTCTTCTTGTAGTCAGAGTGTTTATGTGGTGAGTCCAGTTCAGTTTCTGGTCAATGGTAACCCCAGGATGTGGATAGTGGGGGATTCAATGATGGTAATGCCATTGAACTTTCAAAGGGTGATGATGAGATTCTTGTTGGAGATGGTTATTTTCTGACATTTGGGTAGTACTAATGTGACTTGCCCCTTGCCAGCTCAAACCTGGATATTGTCCAGATCTTGCTGCATTTGTACATGGATTGCCTCAGCATCTGAGGAGTCATGAATGGTGCTGAACACTGTGCAATCATTGACAAACATTCCCACTTGTGACCTTATGATGAAGGGGAGGTCATTAATGAAGCAGCTGAAGATGGTTGGGCCTAGGACACTATCCTGAGGAACTCCTGCAGACATGTCCTGGAGCTGAGATGACTGACCTCAACAATCACAACCATCTTCCAATGTGCCAGTATGACTCCTACCAATGAAGGGTTTTCTCCTGATTCCCTTTGAATCCAGCTTTGCTAGACCTCTGTGATGCCACACTTATTCAAATACAGCCTAATGGTCCAGGGCAGTCTCTGTCATCTCACCTCTGGAATTTTGCTTTTATGCCCACGTTTGAACCAAGCAACCAGGTTAGGACCTGGCAGAACACAAACTGGGTGTCAGTGAGCCAGTTATTGTTAATCAGCAGGAGGTTTGCTTGCTTATGTTTAACCTGATGCTATGAGACTTCATGATGTCGGGAGTCAATGTTGAAGATTCCCAGGCAACTCCCTCCCATCTGTATATCGGTGTGCAGTCATCTTTGCTGGGTCTATCCTGCCAATTGGACAGGAGACATCCAGGAATTGTGATGGCGGTCATGTCTGGACATTGTCTGTAAGGTATGAACACGAGTATGAGTATGACTACATCAGGCTGTTGCTTGACTAATCTGTGAAATAGCTCACATTTTTGGCACTACAAGCCCCAGATGTTAGCAAGGAGGACAAAATTCCAATGTTAGTTTAGTCCAGTGCAGCAGCACCATTTGAGAATGAGAAGTATATCACACAGGGGGAGAGCAACAGTCCACAGCTGAAATGATGAATAAGCCACAGTAGAATTGAGGACAGGATATGGCAGCATTGAGAAAAGGTCACAGCAGCATTGAGGAAAACATGCTGACATTTCCCCACAGGAATCATAGGACTTCTGGAATCTATTGTGACTGGTGCCCATGGTCTGGTATTATGTGCAGCCATGAAGATATCATTGATTTAAACTGTGTGCTGTTCCACTGGTCAGAGCTGGAATGGGATTGGCCATATCCTATTTGTTGAAGGCAGGTGATGCTCGCCAATGACTTCCCATTGAGCTGACAGGCATGTGTTAAATATGTTGGAATTGGTCTGAATGTGAGTAAAGGAGGGGGTAGAAGGGAAATGGGTGGTGGTTCCACAAGGTCACTCTCAGTAATGCTGCCAAAAGCTACAAACTGTTTGTGAGTGCTGGGAAACTTCTGTGAAATTCTTGCCAAGAGCTTGGTAAGTGTGAACAAAGTCCTGTTGTTGAAGGTACAATATATGAATCATCTACTCCTTGTGCCTTGCTTCTGATGGAAAGAGGCCATTTATTCTTTGGCCACTCACTTTATGAGAAGAAAGTACCTGCCCATTCCGATTTCACCTGTTCCACACTTCACGTGCAGAGTCAAGTTTCCTTCACACCAGTGGCTCAGAACCAGTGTCACCATGATAATGCAAAAAACAGCAGATGCCACAAATCTGAAACAGAAGCAAAACGTACCGGAGAACCTCAGCAGCTCTAGCAGCATTTGTGGAGAGGGAAACAGAGGTAATGTCTCAAGTCACAGAGACTTCATGGAGAGAAAACTGACCAGCCACCTGCTGGTGGGAAACTATTCACAACGGCATCAAGTTAGGGAGGGACTGTTTATTTGAACCACCAACTCCTATCAGAGAATAGCAATCCCTCCTCTGCCGTCACCATCCTCACCCCCCCCCATCCCCCTACCCCCCCCTCCATCACCCACCCCCCCCAACCCCTTTACCCCTTCTGCCCACCACTTCGCCCCCCTCCCCTCACACCACCCCCCTCACACATCATTGTCCCTCTCCCCCATCACCACCCCCTCCCCCATCACCATCTTCCTTCCCCCATTACCACCTCCATCTCCTATCACTGTCCCCCTCACCCCATCACCATTCCCTCTCCTCCATTAACACCACTCTTCCCCCATCACTGTTCCCCTCTCCTATCACTATACCCCACTCCCACCACCACCACCATCTCCTATCACTGTCCGTCTCCCACCCATCACTGTCCCCCTCTCACTAGCACCGTCACACAAACCTATAATAAAAAGTCATGCTTGTTAAGCACAGAAACCTCATTTGTTTCCCTGTCAACCTAGGTTGAAAAGTCAGGTAGATTGGGATACTTTTCAAACATTTTTAATTTCATCATAGAATCCTTACAATGTGGAAACAGGCCATTTGGCCCAACAGGTCCACACTGCCCCTCATTCTGCAGGAATAGTGCCAGAAGACTGGAGACTAGCAAATGTTGTCCCCTTGTTCAAGAAGGGGAGTAGAGACAACCCTGGTAATTATAGACTAGTGAGCCTTACTTCGGTTGTGGGTAAAGTGTTGGAAAGGATTATAAGAGATAGGATTTATAATCATCTAGAAAGGAATAATTTGATTAGGGATAGTCAACACGGTTTTGTGAAGGGTAGGTCGTGCCTCACAAACCTTATTGAGTTCTTCGAGAAGGTGACCAAACAGGTGGATGAGGGTAAAGCGGTTGATGTGGTGTAGATGGATTTCCGTAAATCATTTGATAAGGTTCCCCATGGTAGGCTATTGCAGAAATACGGAGGCATGGGATTGAGGGTGATTTAGCGGTTTGGATCAGAAATTGGCTAGCTGTAAGAAGACAGAGGGTGGTGGTTGATGGGAAATGTTCATCCTGGAGTTCAGTTACTAGTGGTGTACCTCAAGGATCTGTTATGGGGCCACTGCTGTTTGTCATTTTTATAAATGACCTGGATGAGGGCGTAGAAGGATGGGTTAGTAAATTTGCGGATGACACCAAAGTCGGTGGAGTTGTGGATAGTGCGGAAGGATGTTGCAGGTTACAGAGGGACATAGATAAGCTGCAGAGCTGGGCTGAGAGGTGGCAAATGGAGTTTAATGCAGAAAAGTGTGAGGTGATTCACTTTGGAAGGAGTAACAGGAATACAGAGTACTGGGCTAATGGTAAGATTCTTGGTAGTGTGGATGAGCAGAGAGATCTCGGTGTCCATGTGCATAAATCACTGAAAGTTGCCACCCAGGTTGATAGCGTTGTTAAGAAGGCGTACGGTGTGTTAGGTTTTATTGGTAGAGGGATTGAGTTTCGGAACCATGAGGTCATGTTGCAGCTGTACAAAACTCTGGTGCGGCCGCACTTGGAGTATTGCGTACAGTTCTGGTCACTGCATTATAGGAAGGATGTGGAAGCATTGGAAAGGGTGCAGAGGAGATTTACCAGGATGTTGCTTTGTAAGGAGGGAAGGTCTTATGAGGAAAGGCTGAGGGACTTGAGGCTGTTTTCGTTAGAGAGAAGAAGGTTAAGAGGTGACTTAATAGAGACATACAAGATGATCAGAGGATTAGATAGGGTAGACAGTGTGAGCCTTTTTCCTCGGATGGTGATGGCTAGCACGAGAGGACATAGCTTTAAATTGAGGCGTGATAGATATAGGACAGATGTCAGAGGTAGGTTCTTTACTCAGAGAGTAGTAAGGGCGTGGAATGCCCTGCCTGCAAAAGTAGTAGACTCGCCAACTTTAAGGGCATTTAAATGGTCATTGGATAAACATATGGATGATAATGGAATAGTGTAGGTTAGATGGGCTTCAGATTGGCTTCACAGGTCGGCGCAACATCGAGGGCTGAAGGGCCTGTACTGCACTGTAATGTTCTATGTTCTATGAAGAGCATCCCACCCAGATCATTCCCCTAACCCTGTATTTCCCATGTCTAACACACCTAACCTAAACATCCCTGGGCACTATGGGCAATTTAGCATGGCCAATCCACCTACCCTGCACATCTTTGGACTGTGGGATGAAACCAGAGCACCCAAAGGAAACTCACGCAGACACGGGAAGAATGTGCAAACTCCACACAGACAGTCGCCCGAGGCTGGAAGCAAACCCAGGTCCCTGGCGCTGTGAGGCAGCAGTGCTAACCACTGTGCCGACCCAACTTCTATGACAACTCTGGGAATAGTGGGGTTTGATTTTTGGCATGTGTTTATGGAAATGTGTATGTGAATATTTTTCCTCTAATGTTTTTAAAATTTCAATAAACAGGTGACAGAAGTGCAGTCATTCTTGAGACACCAACAATGGCGCAGTACTTTTTTGAGGAGCAGGAACATACTGCCATGTATCAAAAATACAGACTGCCTTCACCCACTGAAATCTACGATCTCATCCTCAACTACCTGCAGACAAAGGTGAGAAAGTGGCTGAAATAAAAAATCTGAACTTTACATGGAGAAATTGGGTACAGTTTCAGGGAGCCAGAAGTAATCTCAGTCCATCTGTCACGACAGCAACTACAACCTGATCCTGTTTTTGTTTTGCTCACCGGACATGGGCGTTGCTGGCTGGCCAGCATTTACTTTCCGCCCCTAGTTGCCCTTGAGAAGGCGGTGGTGAGCTGCCTTCTTGAACTGCTGCAGTTCAAGTGCTGTAGGTTGACCCACAATATGCTGAGGGATGGAATTCCAGGAGTTTGACCCAGTGACAGTGAAGGAGTGGTGATTTCCATATCAGGGTGGTAAGTGGCCTGGAGGGGAATCTGCAGGTGGTGGTGTTCCCATGTATCTGCTGCACTTGTCCTTTTAGAGAGAAGTGGTCATGGGTTTGGAAGGTGCTGTCTGAGGATCTTTGGTGAAATACTGTAATGCATCTTGTAGATAGTACGGACTGCTGGTAGTGGAAGAAGTAGATGCTTGTAGATATGGTGCCTTACAGTTCTAAATGGAAGTGGTCGTGGGTTTGGCAGGTTCTGTCTGAGAATCTTTGGTGAATTTCTGCAGCTTAGAGGGAACATTGCTTGAATTCTAAACAGTAAAAGTAGAAAACATAGACAAGAGTTAAGTGATTTCACAAATGACAGATCAGATCAGAATTCTGCAGTTCTGCCACATCCATTCGTGAATGGGAGGGAACAATTAAATAACTCACTGGAGGCGAAAGTCCCACAAACATATCCAGTCTCAATAATGGGAGATTCCAGCACATCAGTGCAAAAGAGAAGGCTGAACCATTGCAAGCATCTTTGGTTACAAATGCTGAGTGGATGATCTGGCTTAACCTCCAGTCTTCAGCTAATTTGATTCACTCCTCATGTCAATAATTAGCTGACATTGGTGGATACAGCAAAGGCTAAGGGTTCTGAGAACATTATGGCTGTAGCACAAAAAATATCCTTGCTTAAAGCATGTTTTAACAGCATTTAATGTTCTAATGGTATCTTTACATTTCTAGTGCAGTTTGTAACTTGCCTGAATAGGCACTGTCTTTATTTTTGATTTATTTGATTGCTGCACATGTAACAAGAACCATTTCATAATTGTACATGCTCAGTCTGATATTTTTAAACACATCACCACTTCGATTCACTCTGTCTTGATCTCCATGCTCCATGCTGCTTATCTCTTTTGTGGTCCTCTTTGCTTCCCACTCTGTGCCTCCCTGTCCAGCCCTTGCAGGAGCCCCCGAGCAGGAAGGAGTGAGCGAGGCAGGAATTAGGACGGCAAGTGAGAGGAGTGATTGAGTCGGGAGAAGAAAATGATGAGAAGGGTAGAGGGAGTGTGGGGGCAGGGAGTGAGAGGGGCAATGAGTGAGACAAAATGAGGGAGGGTTGGTGAGGGGGCAGTGAGTGGGATGTCCTGAGATGGAGGCCATCAGAAGGGCAGTGAGTGGGTAGTAGGGAGTAGTAAGCGGTAAGTGGCATAGGTTCTCAAAATGGTGTGTTTCTTTAAGCTTAAGGGAAACACCTAAAGCTTGGAAAATCTTTTTAGTTTCATTTTGACAGATCATAGAGTCACAGAGGTCTACAGCATGGAAACAGGACCCTCGGCCCAACTTGCCCATGCCGTCCAGTTTTCACAATTAAGTTAGTCCCATTTGTCTGTGTTTGGTCTATATCCCTCCATACTTATGCCGTCCATGTATCTGTCTAAATGTTTCTTAATGATGAAATTGTCACTTCCACCATACTCTCTGTGTGAATAAATTGCCCCTCTGGACTCTTTTGTATCTCTCCCCTTTCACCTTAAACCTTTGCCCTCTAATTTTAGATTCCCCTACTATGGGGAAAAGTTTGGATATCTACCTTTATCTATGCCTCTCATGATTTTATAGATCTCTATAAGGTCACCCTCAGTCTTCTACGGTGCAGGAGAAAAATCTCAGCCTATCTACTCTCCCCTTGTAGCTCAAACCTTCCAGTCCAGGTAGCATCCTAGTGAATCTTTTCTGCACTCTTTCTAGTTTAATAATATCTTTTCTATAGTAGGGTGACCAGAACTTCACACAGTACTCCAAATGTGGTCTCACCAACATCTTGTACAGCTGAAACAAGACATCCCAACTCCGATATTCAGTGCTCTGACTGATGAAAGCAAACATACTGAAAGCCTTCTTCACCACCCTGTCTACTTGTACCCTAGGACTCTTTGTTCAATAACACTCTCAGGGCCCTACCATTGACTGTGTAAATCCTGCCCTGGTTTGACCCCCAGAATGCAATACCTTGCATTTATCTAAATTAAACTCCATCTATTATTCTTCAGCCCACTGGCCCAGTTGATCAAGATCTCACTGCATTCCCAGATAACCTTCTTCATCGATCACTACACCACTGATTTTGGTGACATCCATCTTGGTGTTGAGGAAGTCCTAGGTGAAGCTGTATGTGCAAAACACTTGTTCCCAGAGAAGGGTGATAATGTAGAACTGTTAAGGAAGCGCTTATCTCAGTATTTGGAGTTTAGTTTTAAAGTGCCAGATCAGAAGTAAAATCAGAAATTGCTGGACAAAGTCTGCAGATCTGGCAACATCCGTGTAGAGAAAGCACAGTTAACATTTCATGTCCACTGACACTTTTTCAGATCTGATTGTAGCTCAGAAAATGTCGGTACAGATGCCAGACAAGGGGTGGGGGAGGGGGAAGGAGTAAACAATAGATAGAAATACAGCCCAGAGAGAGAGGACAACAGTTGGGCAGATAAAGGAATGGGTAAAGGTAAGCCTGGGGGAATCAATAGCTGCTAGTGGGGACCGTTGGTGGCTGACAATGGGTTGTTAGTGGTAGCAGCCCACGTGATGAGAAGGCCTGGTGTGTGGGGTTGGGATATGGACATGGACGAAGATGCTCAGGCCATAAAATTATTGAACTCAATATTGATTCCAGAAGGCTGCAAGGTCCCCAAGTGGAAAATCAGGTTCTTCCAGCTCATGCTGTGCTTTTCTGGAGCAATCTAGCAGGCCAGACACAGAGATGTTAGCGAAGGAACATGGTGATGCGTTTATATTAGAAGTGTTTTCAGAAGCCCGAGCACTTAATTGTTTGATTAAACCCTGAAGGGGTTACTTGACGCTGAGAAAGTTTTATGCTCAGTTGTATTAAGGCTGAAAGAAGAGGCTAACAGATTCTCAAAATGGGGAATTGAAGCCACAGCAGAATTAAACCCTATAGATGTGATAGAGAAAGGAATTCTCCCTGGTGTTGGTTCTGTAAGTGAGTGCTGTTGTGATTAATGGGATTATATTTTCGTTTTTGATTGTTGGAAAAACTCATTTGGTTTACTAATGTCCTTTAGGGAAGGAGACTGCCATGCTTACCTGTCTGGCCTACATTTGACTTCAGACCTACAGCAATGTGATTGCATCTTAATTACCCTCCAGGGTGGGCAATAAATGTTGGCCTAGCCAGCGATGCCCTCATTCTGTGAATGAATAAAAAAAAACTGCTATCCTTGTGTGGTCTAACTATATGTGACTCCAGACCCATAGCCACGTGGTTAACTGCCCTCTGACCAATTATTGATGGTGCTAAATGCTGGTCTAGTCAGCCACACCCTCATCCTACAAATGAGTTTTAAAAATTGGAATTGTACTGGACTGTTCCAATACATCTCCTTAACACCCTGTCGTCATCTTCTTTAAGTAAACTTCAGCACTTCCTACACTTTGCTCTCCTTATACCAACAAACACAGTGTGCGAAACCCAGTACTTCGTGGCCAAATTGGCTCCAGGTCAAGCAACTCCTTGATCCTAGTGTATGAACGTCTCACTGACCTCAGCCATCCCTGTCTCTGCAACGTGCTCCACCGTGCAAACTCAGAGATCCCCGTGTCACCATTTCTGATTTGTGGCACATCCCTAATTTTAGCCACTCCACTTTAGGCAAGCATCCAGACCACATTTGCCAAGGTCCAAAATTCTGGAATTCCCTTTGTAAGACTCTTCAAACTTTCTCCTTTTAAGACACTCTTTAAAAACGATAGCCTGGATTTTCTGATGGCCAAACACTCATCATGCCGAGTTGTGCATAACGACCCTGTGGAAGCACTTTCGTAGCAACCTCTGAAGGAATTTCCTGAAGAAATTCAGTATTCCACTGAGCAATTCCCTCATGCTTGGAGCACTCTGAAAGCTTCCATTTAAATCAAAGAATTCAGATGATTCCAATGAAATGAAGCAAAATAGTTACTTAGGAAAAGTTAAATTGTTGCATACATAGTCTAACTCAGAGTAATGATTAAATTGGAATCTGAATTCAATAAAAATCTGGAATTAAGAGTCTAATGATGACCATTGTCAATTGTTGGAAAAATACCATCTGGTTCACTAATGTCCTTTAGGGAGGGAAACTGCCATCCTTGCTTAGTCTGGCTTACGTGTGACTCCAGACCCACAGCAAGTTGACTTTTAACTGCCCTCTGGGAAATTGGGGAAGAGCAATAAATGCTGGTCTAATCAGCGATGCCCTCATCCCATGAATGAATAAAAAAGAAAGTTATAGGAGATGTGCAATAAATGAGATTGAAAGCACGAGTAACAGGAGAGTGGCCAGGGCATGCAGAATGGGAGGTACTCAGCTGGTGGGACCTGGATGTGTCTGCATCTCCCAAGGAATAGTTCCTTCTTCTGCTGCAAGGCCAAGCATTCTCTCCTTGTTGGGGCTGAGGAATCTAATGTCAGGCAACCTCCACCCCTGTGTCCTTTGTCTATCCTGTTATGGGCTGTCTTCTCCTCTCAGGAAAGAAAGTAAGAGGAATGAGTGAGAAGATAGTGAGTGGCACAGCTGTTGGTGCTGAGGTGTTTTGAAGGACTGAAGAGGCCGTGGGAAGGGCATACAGAGTTAGTACTGTGGGTGTTTGGGGTGGGAGAAACAAGATCGAGTGAGGGAAGGTGTTGCAGTGCAATCAGGAGAGTGACAGAGCATGAGCCTTGGTGGGAATTGGGTACATTTCCAGAGACACAGTGAGTGTGAGGTGGTTGAGAGAAGAGTTTGGGGAAGGTGAGCACTCAGGTCGCTGTCAGATGGAGTGGAGGTTGTATTGACCTTCTTCCTGTCTGTTCCTCTGCACCCGGAAAGAATGCTAGTATGGGTGACAATCTCAGACTAGGCTGGCAGGATCTCCTGTGCTGGTCCTTTAGTAAGAGGTCACCTCTGCCTTGCACGACCCCATCTCCCGGGAGCTCCAGGTCCCTCAAAGAAACACAGTACCGTATTCCCTTTGGAGATAGCAAGAATTGCAAATGCTGGAGTCAGAGTCAATACAGTGTGGAACTGGAGGAACACAGCAGGTTAGGCAGCATCAGAGGAGCAGGAGAGTCGATATTTTGGGCCTATACCCTTCATTAGGAGACATTTGAGTGCCCGAAATGTTGACTCTCCTCCTCCTCTGATGCTGCCTGACCTGCTGTGTTCTTCCAGCTCCCCATTGTATTGACCCATCTTCTCTTCCTTTGTCATGTTCACACTCTGTGTTTGACCAAGCAGGGCAGCATTTGAATCTGGATGCACAGCGAACCTTGTAGATGTCAAGGGCTCCAGGAATGCCAGTCTTCCAGCGGATGTCTGCTAGGTGGACAATGGTCCATGCTAAGGTGGGGCAGAAATCGGATGAGAGCAGTGCCATAAGATGTGGCGACAAACTCGCTAGGCCTCATGGTGAGATTTCCCCCGGCACAACCTGTACTTCCCTGAAGAAACACAATTTTCAGCCCACAATTTTTTTTTTGTATGCTACTCTTTTTTCCCCCCCTCCTAGATGTCTTTTTAATTTATTTGAACACTTTTATCTCCTGGTTACAAAATACTGACAATCGGGAACCACAGTTTTTGTTTGACCAATGGTCAAGAGGCGTCCAATTGGACATTGAAGTGTCTGTTCACTTTCTGATTGGCTGTTTGTACGATATGGAACCAGCAATGAGGGGGTGGGGCAATATAAGGTCATGTGATGACACCTCCTGGAAATTGACCAACTGGAGATGGTGACCTGAGTGCTCACCTTCCCCCTCACTGTGGGGTTGATTTGTTGATATGTGAATCAGTTCAAATATTCACTCTTATTGCTAGACAATCGTAAAAAATTGAACATGGAGTTACTGAGTGTGGATGTTTCGCAAGAAGGGTGGAGAGGTGTGTGTTTAACTAAAAATGTGGTCCTTTTTTCTCAGAAAGAGGAGCCATTCACCCTCGCAGTGGATGTTGGATGTGGCTCAGGTCAGAGCACAAGGGGACTGGCTTCTCACTTTGAAAAAGTGGTTGGAATTGATATGAGTGAAGCTCAGGTTGAAGAGGCCAAGAAGATGGATAGATCTGATAATGTATCTTACAGGTAACCATAGTCATCTCAAGTTTTTTCATTGAAACTACAACAACTAAAAGTACAGTCTTGTCCATTTTGTTGAGAGAGATTCATTTTAATTTTGAAAGATTGATCACATTCAGAGGGATCTAGCCTGATAAAGTTCATGGCCATAGGATTTCTTAATGGATTTTTATAAACCTAAATTGCCTTATTGGATTGCCTTTATGAGGAAAGACTGGATGGGGTATGCCTGTATCCTCTGGAGTTCAGAAGAGTCAGAGAAGACTGAATTGAAACATATAAGATCCTGAAGGGACTTGACTGAGTGGATGTTGAAAGAATGTTTCATCTTGCGAAAGCATCAAGAGCTAAAGGTTACAGTTTAAAAATAAGGGGATGTCCATTAAAGTAGATGAGGAAACATTTTTTCCTCTGAGTGTTGAGTCTTTGGAATTTACTTCCTCAAAAGTCAGTGGATGTGGAATCTTTAAATATTTTTAAGGCGAAGGAAGAGAGATTCCTGATTACAAGGGGGATAAAAGATTATCAGGGGTATGCAAGAATGTAGCAGTGAGGTTAAAATCAGATCAGCTATGATCTTATTGAATGTAGAGCAGGTTTGAAGGGCCCTGTGGTCTACTCTTGTTTCTTGTTTGTATGTAAATGGAAGGTAATAGGAAAGGTGAATATTTGATACAGATATGCCAAGAATTCATTAGCACTGATGAAAAAGGATTGGATGTGATTATTGGTCATGGGCTCAAAGTATCTATTCAGAATGGTACAATTATCAGCAGTCCAGCACCGTTCTTCATATTGAGGTAATTTGATTATAAATTCAACAGTAATCCCTTATAATTTATAGATATAGCCTCCATTGGAACATGAACAATGATGGATTGGACAAAACTCACTGGGCTTTTATTTAGTAATTCACCGGATGTGGGTGTTGCTGGCTATGCCCATTTGATCTATCTCGCACAACTGTAAGGCCTTGTCCATCACGATATATACACTTACTGCCCATCCACATCCATGTGATCTGGAAGAGGTGAAACACCAGATAAACCCACACGAAATGGTGGGAAATCAGAGAACTTCCTTTGTGATGTCTTTTAACTGGTTGGAGCAAATTGTGCTGTCTCTTCAAGCAAAGGCTTATTGAGCCACACACTAAACAGGCAGTGGCAAAGCCACTCATGAGACTTAGCCTGAAATGAAGATCTTACAGAGTGGAGATCCTACCAATCAGAGGCTCTTGTGCTCAGCACCACAGACGAGCCTGTGGCTGCTGGCAGAAAAGCATCCCTGGAGTCCCAGAATCGTTGGAGGTTTTGGCACTGAGGTAGCTGATTTGTGGTGGTTTAGGCAAGGGAGTTTTCTGGTGATCAAGGTGAGATGGGGGCAAGAGGGTCAGAAGCAAAGGCAGGCAGTGACTCCCATTGGGCAAGACCTTGCTCTTGTTCAGTTCTACAATCCCCAATATCGTTGCTGTGATAAGCTGCCTGCACATTGCTATATTGTGTGTATGGGGTCGAACTCCAATTAGTCTCCCAAAATACTGCTGCTTTATGGACTTTTCTGCAGGACTTCTTATGTACAGCTTGATCTCTACCCATATTTTCACAAGAATATATTAGAGTTTTTGCTCCGTAATAGCTTTTTCTGTATAATCATGTGACACTAACATCAACATTACAGATGGTGCGGATATCAATCTGGACATGTTGCTTGGTGATGGGCCTGACTGCAGCCGGATTAATCCCTGAGGAGGTTGGTTGTGGCCCTTAACTGGCCACCTCAAATGGCGGTAGGGTGAGAAGGTCAGCCAGAAGAGGGAAGACTGCAGGGTATAGATGTACTACTGGCTTACCTAATATAAGTGCTCTTTCCGTCCCCAAGTCCACCATCTCCTCTGGGAATGGAGGATATCTGGGGTAAGAGGCTTTAGCTATCAGAAAACACGAGAGCAAGAAGAAATGATTACCTTTAAACAAAGATGGTTAAAAGGAAAACTGATAGAAGTGCTTGAAATTACAAAGGATGCAGTAAGTTAGACAATTAACTATCTTTATTGGTCCATGAGTCGACAATTTGTTCATTCAATTGAAAATCATTTGAAGGAAAATGAATTAAGACTTAAACACAGAGTAATTAGGTCATGGAAAGCATAAAGAGATTGGATTTGTTTTTGACCAGAAGAAAGCCGAAGGGTGACCTAAAATTATAAAATGGTTTGGTTAGAGTGGAGAAAGAGAGAATATTCCTTCTGGTGAGGGATAGCATCAAATAAGATAATCACGAAGAAATCCAATTGGGAATTCCAGAAGAAATGTCTTTTTTTTCTTATTATCCAAAAGTGTTAGCACTCACAACTGATGATGGGGGAGATAAAACAAACAAATCACTATGGTTTTTTTTCTTCTATTAGCTGCCAGTAGATCACCTGTGTTAACAATTGAATATTTTATGTGCATTAGAGCAATTCCATCTATGAAAGATGAAAGAGAAGGAGAGGCAGCTAAATCAAAATGATTTGGAAGGGGAGATAAAGCACTAAACTCCCTGTGGTGCCCGCCTCTCTCTCAAGGCATTGAGAATATTGGTGGGAAAGGTCAAGTCACCATAGTCCCACTTTGTCATCAGAGATAGACAACTGGAGTTGGTTTAACCTGAGGGTCACCACTCCTCAGTTAGGGAGAAAATGTTCAGAAGGAGGTCCTCCATGGATTCCTCAGCTGGTACAGGAATTGAATCCACGCTGTTGACGTCCCTCTGTGCAAACCAGTCATCCTGTTAACTGAGCTAACCAACTCCTAAAGAAGTGACTTGACTCAGTATGGTGAGAATATGAGACTCACTATCACCGGGACTAATTGAAATGAATGGTATTGATGTATATACCTAGACAAACATTTGAGCCATTAGGAAACAGAGGGTTAAAACAATAGATTCAGATGTGAGAAGATGGAAGGACCCTCAAGCAGGGCATGAAGACTTGGTCCGAATGGCCTGTTTCTCTGACGTATCCTATCTTAAAATAAAGAATGGTGAGTTCAGAATCCTTAGTCCCTTTTTTTATTTTAAGTGAGTTAATATTTGCTATGGGAGGAAAAAGTCCAAAATTATTGGGAGCACAGAAGTGAGACTACTTGGAGGGCATTTTTAGAGTCAGCACAGTCACAATGGGCTGAACAGCTTCTGTCTGTGCCATTAAATTCTGTACAGATAATTCTACATGGGTTTGGACTGTCAGAACTTCCTATCATCTGTTTGCCTTTATCACAGATGAATTAACTCCTGAGAAGCAAGATGTACCTGGAATATCATTAAACATCTACAGTGAGATTGAAGCTGTTATATTCCTGTGTTTCTTGATTCACTTCACAGACAGGGCCAGGCAGAGGAGCTGGATTTCAAGGATGGTTCTGTTGACCTGATAACCGTGGGAGCAGCAGCACAGTGGTTTGACTTGGAGAAGTTCATGAAGGAAGTTGACAGGGTTTTAAAACCCAAAGGCTGCCTGGGTCTGTATTGCTATACAGTTCCCTGTATACTGAATTTTGATGACTGTTCTGAAACCCTGGCCCAGGTTATCCAAGACGTAAGTATTCGGGGGAAAAAAAGACTTGCCTTCATATAGCAACCTTCACATCCCAAAGCACCAAAGCCAAAGAATTGTAGTCACCATTGTAATATGGTAGCCAATTTGTACACAGCAAGCTCCCACAAATAACACTGTGGTATTGAGCAAATAGTCTCTTTTGGTGCAGCTTCAGGAAGAAATATTGACCAGACCACTAAGAGGGAGTCACAAGCTCATCTTTGAGAGAAATTCCTCAGTCAGTCCCAGTTTTTCACACAATGTCCCATTATCCTGACAGCTTATTTCCAAATTTCTCAACGGTCCCAGTTTTTGGATTCCCTGAGGTCCCTGTCCTTTGTCCTGACTCATAAAATATTTACTGTTTCTCCCACCCATAGAGCGCAGCATAAGGTGCTTTGTATAATCTGGGATTCAGAGGGGGGAGTGAAAAACGAGTGAATACTTCCTGGTTACATTCCCTTGACTTTGCAAGAACACTTTAGCAGCCTTTCCTTTCAAAGGGGTCTGAGATGAGGGACTATACTCTCTCAAATGGTGGGTGTATAAGTCCATAAGACGTAGGAGCAGATATAGTCCATTCAGTCAATCGATGTGGCTGTGGTATTCGATGAGATTGTGGCTGAACTATGGTTGATGTTTAGGGGCTAGAGGCACCTTCAGCCACTCTGCCTTGAGGGATAAGCTTGGGATCTTCCTCAGCCACATGACTCTGGATCCACATCAAATACAGGGAAGAAGAGGGGAGGATGTGGGTCAGAAGGGAGGAACACGGGGGAATGGATTGAGTTGTAGGAGATACTGAGGGTAATTAATCCACATGGTCGCCATGAGCAGCTGGAAGGGGAATCAGTCTCTGGTTGATGACTGAAGATTGACTCCGGATAACTCAACTGCAAGTTGCACTTGATGAGGTAGTCAGACGCCACGCTTTGGCAGACTGGGAATGGTAATGGACAAGTTTGATTGAGCCATGCCAAGTTCAACCAAGCTTCTTTTTGAAAGGTCCTGTACTATCCTCCTGGGTGCTTTTGATGCAAAGACAATGTCAGATGCTTAAGGTACAGTTGTTAATTTAAAATCCATCTTCTAGCTGAAAGTGACTATTGTTAAAATCCAATGTGCAAATGAAAATAAAGAGATTTCTAATTGGAGATTATTGTTAGTCTTGTCACTGTGCAGTGTTATGGACCAAACCAAAACCTCTCAAAACATATCAAGGAGATAGCCAGACACTAACCTTTATCTTATTTAAGGGCAAGTATAAGGTGCTGTTTTCCAGATGTGATTTGATTCGTCAGTTAAAATACAAACAAAATGAGAAGAATTGGCATAACTTTAACTCTTAAAAGACTTAATAAAAATAACATATTATTTAACTACTGCTCATCAACTGTTCCAATATAGCAACATTCCATAAACACACAGGTAAATTCAACAAAACATTTTACACAGAGGGTGGTTCACATGGGGAATGAACTTCCTGAGGAAGCGCTGGATGTGGGTACAATTACAACGTTTAAAAGACAATTGTAATGGATACATGACTAGGAAACGTTTGGAGGGCTATGGGCCAGGAGCAGGCAAGTGGGATTAGTTTACTTTGGGATTAAGTTCAGCATGGATTAGTTGGACCAAAGGGTCTGTTTTCGTGCAGTATTACTCTATGCCAACACCCCTCTTCAAGAAGACAGAACAAATCGCTCTTAAAGGCACATTTGTCACAATTGTACAATTAAGAATTAGTTAGAAGAATTCCCATCAGTGAGTTTCTGATATGGTATAACTGGGGGACAATTTAATAACTAACTAAACCAGGTGATCTTGACCAATCTGGATTAAGACATAGGATAAATAGCAGTGATTCCTCCATTGGATTCATTTCCCCAAGAGGATGCAAGCTTGAGGGACACTGTCAGACATGATATTGTTGCTTTAGAAGATTTATGCAATTCTCAAAAAGTAACAAGGGACAATGATGGAGTTTTCTGCTGCTTGTATGGGTGAAATCAGGCACACAGTTCATTCTTAACCCTCAAAATGATATTTCCTGACCAAGGAGAATCAAATTCTACTGAGGCTGTACTGTGGTCAGCGTCAGCCTTGGTACAAAATGCTAATTAAGATAAATGGATCCAATGCCAAATGGCACATTTTCAAGGAACCCTGTCACTATGTCCAGTCCACATCTCTACTCATGTCCAACTCCCTCCATGATCTCGCCCCTCTCTATTCTCTGTAATCTCCTCTAACTCTACACGTCCCTGAGATCCCTGCTCTCTGGGAGCATTCCCAATTCTCACTGATTCGTCAAACCTTCAGCTGTCAAGTCTTAAGCCTGGAATTCCCTCTTTAGACCTCTCTGCTTCATTTTGTCTCTCTCTCCTCCATTAAGATGCTCCTTAAACGTGCTTTTGCTCACCTGCCTGAGTATCTACAAGAGGCAGGGACTTTCTTATGCACAGGAAATAATTGCAAGTTTAAATCTCTATCATGAATAGAGTCCAACTTGTTACTCACATTGGATGTCAAGGATAAATGGACATTGATTGATTTGATGTCATGCGTGTATCCCCGACGTCTTGGTGTCACAGTTTATGCACTCTGTTGATATCCACCAATCATGCATACGGACTGTATGGCCATGTAAGAATTTGCATGTTACCTGCTTGCAGAGATGGTAACACAGCTCCCAATATTTGATATGCCGCAGTGCAAGGTATATGATGCCCCCACAGAAAGTCACGTTACACCAAGGTTTACTGAAGAACAGAAAAATTATCTCCCTTGTAACTTCCCCAAGGACTTCTCCAGCTCACAATTCAATTTAGTGTCTGCAGCTTGGCCTCCGTAATAAACTGACAGATATTAAAGGGGTACCTTCACTCTGTCATCAATTTGAAATGACAAACCTTCTCACTAATTTGTCCTCAAGGTCCCCAAATCCTTGGAAAATCCAGCCTTTTTTTTTCTGTAAGCCACAAGCTGTAACCTTTAGCCTTGACCTTTCAAGGAGGATCACCTTTCTTTCCAAACAGGGCTGATTTCCTTTACCTGGAGAGCAGCCTGCATAGAGACAGGGTTTCCCTCCACATTCCTCCATGCCATTTGTTAACAAAAGTATCTGTGTAAACAATAGTTAATTCATAAAAGTCAAGAGCTTAATAAGCTTAAATGTGTGTCTAATCACCAGCTGCTGCCCCATTCAGTTTTCTGCCTGTCTCTCAATCATCTCAAATTTTTTGAAAAAACAAATGTCATTTCATGAGATAGGGGAAGATTCGTGCCCTGAATCCAGCAAAGACAAACACACATAATGAGCATCATGATGCTGCGTAGGCCATGGGTATGTCTAGTTTTGCAATGATGACAGTGCAGTCCAATGGAAGCTGACGTTGCAGCAGCTACATCCTGGTTTTCAATGAGGGAATTCTTTCAGATAAGAATTGAATCTGAGCATGTTTGAATGTACAGTTAAATTTAGACCTTTCATCCAATGTTATAATTCTTTCCATTGTATGTTCTATTTGCAGCTGTTCATTGAACTCAAACTCTATGAGACCATAGCAACAAAAAGGGTCTGGAATGAATACAGTGATGTGTTTGATGCTATCACTTTCCCTGACAAAGAGAGGTAAAAGTATAACACACTGTTAATACCAATCTTCAGGAACCATTAAAAATGGAATCATATGTTTGCTGAGATGATGAGAGATTTCTTCACCCAGAGAATGGTGAGCCTATGGAATTCTGTGCCACAGAAAGCAGTTGAGGTCAAAACATTGAATGTTTTCAACAAGGAGCTGGATATAATCCTTGGAGCTAAAGGAATCAAACGATATGGGGAGAAAGTGAGAACAGATTACTGAGTTAGATGATGAGGCATGATCATATTGAATGGAATAGCAGGCTTGAAGGGCTGAATGCCCTACTCTTATTTTCTATGTTTTTATTTTTCTTGTTTTCTGCACTGGATCCTGTATAGATCAGTAATTACTCTATTTCACATTAACAATGAATCATACCCCTGGTACCAATCACCAGAACCAGCATAGATGGATTACAACTCAGAAGGATGCCATTCAGCCCATCATGTCTGTGCTAACTCCTGCAACTGCAAATCAATCAATCCCACTCCATTGCTGTTTCCCGTGGTCTGGCACTTCCTCATTTAACCTTTAGGTGTTTATCTGATTCACATTGAAAGCAGTCAGTTCTGCCAGTGTTGGAATATTGGAATAAGGTAGACAGTGTTCCAGCTCTGAGATGGTACACAACTGGATAGATTTGGAGGCTGATTCCTTACAAACATAAGTGGTTGGCAGATAATTGTTGAGGCATCAGGAGCTGGAGGCACATGAAGAGGTCCCAGCTAAAGATACCCTCAGGATGTGTGGGAGGTATTGTCCTGAGAATCCACGGTCCTCAGTGCCATTTCCTTCAGATGAGTGAGGCACAGTATTACCACGGACTGAGGATGTCCCGGGATATTGTCACAGGAATATATCAACTGCTGGAGCAGGACCTGAGAGATGAAGAAATGGGTGGTCAGTCTATTCCCATCATTGTCAAGGTGATAGTTATGCTCAAACTTTGCACAACTAGCTCCTTCCAAAGATCCCCTGGGGACCTGTGTGGGATCTCACAATCCTCAACCCACTCCAGGTAGGATTGTATTTATTCTGTATTTCTGGGGTGCATTTACAATTTGCATGAGGATCGAAGGCAATGCAAGATCATGCTTGGTGCTGTGAGATGCAACCTCAGTCTGATAATCCAGGGGCTACCCATCTCTGCTCTCCCTTTCCCACAGCTACCGCCAACACCTCCAACCCCTTCTCACCCACATTCCTTCCTTTCTGGCACTCCCTGTCAATTCCATCAAAACTGAGCTTTCACGCATTCTCACTCGCTACTTTCAATTACAGCTTCATCTTCCAATATGACCCCCTCAACTCCAGCCCTACAGCTTTGTCACACCAACAGTTGTACTCCCCTGTCTACCCCTGCGCCCCCACCCCCATTAAGGTCACTGTGATTGTGACCTTTTCATGACCCTCACCCCTGCACCTATGTCCTCCAATGTACGACCATCTCCCCACCTTACCTGTCGAGTTGCCCCCTCCTTCACAGTTATTAACCCCTCTCTACCCTAGCATGATGTCTTCAATCCCCACACTTTATTTCCCCAACATCCCTATTGTAGCAACGTCCCCTGATATCCATCCCTTTACTTCCATTGCGCTAACTGCCAGTACTGACCAACTTGGACAGACAATCCCAACTAATACGTGACTGAACCCCTGATTATTCTCTGTGGAGCTCCTGACTGACATATTCATTGCATTGGTTTTGCAGAACTCAGTGTGGTCTGCTCCCCAGATTGCAGAGCCTCAACGCTGGACAACCCAAGTGGCCATCTAACTGTGTTCAAGTCCCTGGACTTTACTTAATATATCAGCAGCCTTTGACTGAAGGCTGTTTCCCTTGCTGTGACTGAGGACTCCCCTTAGAGTTTCAGACATGGCCACTTGGTTGACGCACGTGCAGTGTGCTTGTCACATACACTGCTGTCACAAGCTGCACGTATAACAGGTGTACAATGAACACAGTACTAAGGGAAGAAGTAGAAAGTGTGAAAAGAGTCCGAGAGCAGGAAGACGATTCAAAGTTTTCGAGAAGATTTGTAGCTTGGGTTGTGGATGAAACTACCAAAAAATGAAGCCAGAGGGATACAACACACCCCACTTCTACAGATTCCCCAAAGTACACAAACTTGAGGTCCCGCTAAGACCATTGTCTCACTACCAGGCACACCAACATATAGACTTGCCAAAAAACACCAACAGACACGACTGATTCTCACTTGTCTCACTACACATGGACAACAAGAGACACAAATTCGACTGGGACAAAACGTCCACGTCCATAATTGCACAAGCCAAATGGAGACATGCCAGGGAATTCTAGGAGGTCTGGTATTCTAACCAGAACTCCATCAACAAACCCATTGAATTAGACCCTGTGTACTAACCACTGAGAAACAGAACCGGAAGTGATACCAAACACTTCAACAAACTGAGGCATATAAATAACAAGCGGGACAGAACACCAACGTTTCACCAGAGGCGCACTGACCATGTTACCTAGCAGAGTGACAAAACATTTGCAATGAAACCCACCGGCTCGGCAAGCATGTCCACAACCTCAGCGAGAGGATTCACTCTGAACACAGCACCAAGAGGGAGGCAGCAGTGATCAGTGGGAAGTGGTTTCACTATGAACACCGCATGGAGAGGGGAGGCAGCAAGTTTAAAAGTGCAGTGAGGGGGGAATAGTTTCATTCTGAAAACAGCACCAAAAGAGTAACAGATAAGTTTAAAAAGAGCATGGTAACTAGGGAGTGGCTTCATTCTGAATACAACACCAAGAGTTGCTGAGTGTGAAAAAAAATCCAAGAGTGTCGTCATAGGAAATCTGTAAGTTTATTAGTTGGTGGGAAGCTGATGTAGGGAACAAGTCTGAATTCCTTAAAACTTAAAAAAAAAAGTCATTTATAAAAGAAGAGCAGTTACTTGGATTTCAGGAATACTGCAAAGATGAGGTAAAATTAAATCATGTCAGAGTAAAACAAAATAATAATATAAAACAATAGGAAATAAAGTTGTCACTAGAAAGTTTTCATTGTGAGTTGATATTTTAAGGGTGACAAATAGTTTTCAGAATTACGGAATGGTAGTATGAGTGAAGTCATAGAGATACCATGTCTCAAACACATCTGCAAGAAGTGTCACCAGTGCACACAAGCTTGAGCTCTGGGCTTTGAAATTTGAGCAGCATCTGGGGTCACTTTTGTGCACCCACAACATGGAGGGAATGTGGATAGAATGTATAGGAAGGTGGTCACACTGAATTTAGAAATGCACAGGTAGGGAAGGGATGACTGACAAGTGGCAATCTAAGAAAACCAGACAGGTAGTGCAGGAATCTCCTGAGTCCATCATGCTTGCTAATTACTATCCCAATTTGGAAGCTAGTGAAGGCGATGGCTCATCATGCGATTGCAGTCAAAACCAAGCCCATTACATCACAGTTATGTAGGGAGGGGGTGTGGAGAACAAGAATGGATGGGTATTGCATTGTCAAGGGATCATAAGGGGCTTCTGTAGATGAAACTTAATTCGAGGACGGTGTATTGCCTCCCTGGCACCAAGGTTAGAGATGTTGTGGAGTAGCTGTGGGACACCCTTCTAGTGGAGGTGGATCAGCATTGTCCACATTGGTACCAATGACATGTGTTGTAAAAAGATCAAAGTACCGAAAGCAGAATTCGGGCAGCTAGAAAAGAAATTAAAAGGCAGCACCTCAATGGCTCTAATCTCTGGATAACTTCCAGTGCTACGTGCTTGTGAGCGTAAGAACAGAATTGGTCAATTGAACAAGTGGCTGGAGAACGGGTGTAGGACAGAAGGCATCAGATTTCTGAGGCATCAGGACTATTCTGGTATGGGCATGACCTGATAGATATCATGCATGGAGGTTTGCTGTTGGTGTTGGTTTAAACTAGATTGTCTGACATGTAAAAAGGAAACATTTGGCTAAGGGAAAGGTGGGTTTGTTCAAAGCAGAGTCAGGAGACGAGGGAAATGAAAGAGACGCTAAATGACTATGTTCACTGAGGAAGATGCCAGAAATCTCCCAGAATTAGAAATCTAAATGATTTAGGAAGAATGAGGAGTTGGGGGAAATTAGCATTCGTAAGGAGAGTGGGCACATCTTTGGACTGTGGGAGGAAACCAGAGTACCCAGAGGAAACCCACACAGACACAGCAAGAATGTGCAAACTCCACACATACAGTTGCTTGAGGGTAGAATTGAACCCAGGTTCTTGATGCTGTAAGGCAGCAGTGCTAACCACTGAACCAACATGTTGCTCTGTCTATGTCACAGAGTGTTGAAGGATGTGCTATGGAGATGGTGCAGACTTTGTAATTGTCTTTCAAGATTCCATAGATTCAGGAAGATTCTTGAAGATTGGAAGTTTGCAAATGTCACCCCACCTTTTAAGAAAGGAACAAGAGAGAAAAAAAGGAAGCAGGAAAGTAGAGACCAGTCGACCTTACATTAGTTGTAGGGAAAATGATAGAATTTATTAAAAAGGATCTGATGAATGGACACTTGGATAAAAGCAATCTGATTGGGCGTCGTCGGCATAGGGTTGTGAATATAAAATTGTGTTTGACAAACTTGTTGGAGTTTTTTGAGGGTGTTACTAACAAAATCAATAAATGGGAGTCAGTGTTTATTTGGATTTTCTGAAAGCTTTTGATAAGGTCCCCACGGAAAGTTCAGTAGAAAAATTAAACTGTAGAGGATAGGGAGTAATGTAGTTGTGTGGATTAATGATTGGCTAATGGACAGAGAAAACAGATTATGAATAAATGGGTCGTTCTCATGTTGGCAGACTCTGACTATTGGGATGCTGCAAGAATCAATACTTGAACCCCAGCATTTCAGAATACATACCAAAGATTTCAACAGGGGAACCAAATGCAATATTTCCAAATTTGTGGATAATACAAAGCTATGCAGGAATGTGTGTTATGAGGAAAATGTAAAATGTTTTCAGGTGGTTTTGGACAAGCTTAGAGAGTGGGCAAGAACATGGCAGATGGAATATAATGTGGAAAAATATGAGGTTATTCACTTTGGTAGGAAAAAACAGGCTTGCAGAGTATTTTGTTAAATGATGAGAGGGTGGAAACTGAGATGTCCTTGTCAATAAGTCACTGATGCTAACGTAGGTGCGTCAAACTCTTAGGAAGGTTAACATTCACTTTTATCGTAAGACAGTTTGAGTATGGGAATGTTGAAGTCTTGCTTCAGTTGAACAGGAGCTTAGATAGATTGCAACTGGAGTATTGTGTGCAGTTTTGGTCTCCTTATCTCAATAAGGATATTATTGCCAAAGAGAAACTGCAGCAGAGATTAACCAGTTTGTTCTCAGGACAGTGGGACTGTCCTATGAAAAGAGATATGAAAAGAGCACTAAAAGGCAAGGCAAATTAGGGGTTCTGTCATTGATAGCTGGTCACAAAAGCTGCATTTGTATAACCTCTTGGTTCCAAATTGTCTGCAACTAAAACTCCAATTGCTGCTTGTTCACAGATATTTACAATGCCTGCCATGGATGTCACATTATTTGCTTTTGAAAACATGTAGTACTCTTGCAAAATATTGGTTTTAAAACAGTTCTTTCTCATTTCAGTTCACAGTTTTTTAAAGACATGATCCTTACAACAGATGCGCACAGACAAGTCAAAATGGATTCTATGGATAATTAATAGAATCCAAAGAAGCAAATCACATAGTAAAATGTTTAAGTTGCAAGTTTGCATATCTCTCACGGTTCATTGAATGAATAGCAGATGGAGGTCTCTGGATTTTCAGATGAGGTGCTGGATAAGTTTTTGTAGAGGCAAATTTCTGCAGGTGAAAATGACAGTCTGCCTCATAGAGCCTGTGTTGACTAAGTTGTTAAGCAAGGGTCTGTTCTTCTGGTTGAGAAATGGGGGCTTTCATTCTAGACTGCCTGATTTCTGGTAGTTTCTCAGAATAACAAAGTTCATTATCTGAAATCATTTTGATCACATGACTAGATTAATTCATACTTCTGTTGTTCTCACAAATGTTTCACATTAAAGGCCACTGCCACACAATGGAACATAAACAGTGGCTTGTAGGAAACTGGAATCTTTGCAGTTCTTTGTTAAATGCTGAACTTGGTACAATATCTAGAATGTGACAACTGATTTTGAGTTTTGGAAAAGAGCAGCCAATGAAGAGGATATATAAATTCACAAGTGGTTTCACATTGTGAATGATTCAAGGGAGGGCATTCCACATATGGTCATTTACATTTTAAGAACACACCAGAAGCATGTTAATCCTTGGTTTGTCTAGAAATCACAAAAGGTCACCTGACCTTTTGGCAGCCATTTTTGATGTATATTGTCTACTTTTTTAAGTCAACTTTTAAAGAGTCCATTTGGACATTGCCTGTATCTTGAAAGCTAAGAATTTGATATCAATATTGGGTATGTCAACCCTTGTTAGCTTCCATTTTCAATCAAGCTTAACAGCCAATGATTTGACATTAATCCATCTTATTGGCAGTGATTAAACTGTCTTCCATACAACTTGACAGTATCCCAGCTCCAGTTTACAAAGTTTAAGTGAGAATAATATTACAGTCTTTACACCATGGTTAAAATTAGGTTAGCAAATGCCAGCACCTCTAGTCCGAGCCCTTGATTCTTCCTCCATGTGTCTGTGTGTCACAGAATTCACCTTGTTTATAAACCACTTTCTATAATCCCAAACCACTAAACTTCACAAGTCCACTCACTGAATTACAGCCTTCACCAATTTGTCCAAGTCCAGACCTAGTAAGTACATAGAAGTACATTGCTGTTGAAATGATTATCAGTGCAGATGCAATATTAAAAAGTGACAACTTTTCCATGGCCTTGATTAATGTGTTTGAAAGTACCTCCGACCCCTTCCTTATCGTGTCTCAAGTTGGAGACTCTTCCCTGACTCCATAGCACATTTCCAAAGAGGGTTTTTGGCCCAATGCCCATGGGAAGGTGGTCACCTCTGCTTTGCTGTTCTTTTCCTATGACTTTTTCTTTGATTGTCCTGTTTCTCCAATTCTTTTCTCCCACTTTCTCAATGTTAGCCCCACATGCAGGGTGCAGGTGTTTCTTGGGTTAATACACATAAATATTCTTTACATTCCATGACATATCTTTTAAATGAAATACTTCTCTTAATAAGCAAGCAGTGAAAACACCAGAGTTGGTAGGTGCGCTACACCTTGTGCAGGGAGTTCTATGTCAACTTACACTTTTACTCACATGTTGTGGTCTGAAGCTATTGATAGTAATGGTGGAGACTCTAATGTTCCTTCCACCGGATGGCTGGCCAGGAACCTCTTCCACTTTAATTACTTCTGTGTGTTGGAAGGATTTACCAGTTGATGCTCACGCTGTTTGACCACATTTTGAATAGATCTTCATTAGCTATCGATTCCTGGAGTGGGACTTGAACCGAGAACCTCATCCTTATCTCAACACCCTCCAATGATACGCAATAGATAACATCCTTAATTAGTATTTTATTCTGACATTAACAACACTTTCTTTATCTTAGAGCTGAAGACATTTATATTACAGTGAAGAAACCTGTTTCGTGGTTCGTTGGATATCTGAGTTCTTCAGTTTTATATCAAACTTACCTGAGGGAGAAGATGGAAGATGCTAAGGCCTTCATGGAAAATACTGAGCAAAGGTACAAAACTGCATGAAAGTAGCTGGTCTTTCTGATGATATTTAATTGTACCTAACACTGTGAAGTTATCTAAGGCTTCTAGTGACTCCCTCAGGCTGCTTTGTAACTGGGTTTAAAAAAACCGCTCAGTTAACCCTAATTCATGTTAATGACTTTGATGGGTTTCTTCAGTTTTTTCCGAATCTAAGTTACAGTCAGTTCAATTCTGGGGATTGACAGATGAATTTGATGAAATATATAACCAGGCAAATTTTAACATAGATAACTGTGTATACGAACATACAGGAGCAACATCTACATTCCATCTGTTCGGGTATGTCTACAAATAGCTTCAGGAGTCATTCCTCAAGATATTTTGTTTCGTCATCATTTACTGACTATTTACTGACAGGAATTGAAAGTAAATTGGAAAGGAAATCTGTAATGATTATACATAAACTGAACTCACCCATACTGAGTTTGAGATTGAGGGTCAATCTGTGTTGAATTCTGAATTATCTTCTCACCTTCTAAATCTTTCTTTCCTCCTTTACTTTATGTCATATGTTTATACTGGTACTCATTCCATCAGCTGCAATAACTTGCATTTTAACAAGAGTCAATCCTCAAGCCTTCACCTAGACTGAAATGTCAATTAACTGAAGATAGTTACAGGGAGAAACACTCTCTACAGGGATGTTCATTTCCTGAAGTCATAGCCTCTTGACCTTGTTCACTCTTAACTGTTCTCTGAGATGGCCTAATAAACCACCGAAGCATTAGGAATGATGAGAAAATGCTGACCTCAGCAGTGATAGCCATCAAAGATTTAAAAAGCTCAATTTATTCTGTCATGCAAATTGTCATCCATTCGTTTTACATAGCGCAAGTTTAAAAAAACATCCAGTTTGTTTGGAATTTGCATCCTTTAACTCTCAGGCAAGTACCAGTGCGTTCAACTCTAACCTGATGACTTCATTAAGATATCAATTTCTCTATGGACCTGGTATTGCTACCTGGGTGGTTTCTTATTCTCTGCCACATTCATGTCACAGTGTTGTCAGCAGGGCTGACCCTAGCTGACATCTCATCATCTGAATACGCATGGGATCTTAGGGGCAGGAGTAGGCCATTCAGCCCTTCAAACCTTCTCATACTTAGTAAGGTTATGACTGATCTGATTGTGGTCTTCACTCCATTTGCTTGTTCACCTCCCCTTAAAAGCCCTCATTTATCAGAGATTTGTCTCAATCAGCCTTGAATATATTCCATGACGCAGCCTCCTCGGTGGACAAGTATTAAACAGACTAAAAACCCTCTGAGAAATTCCCCTCATCATCATCCTAAACAAGAACATCCCTATTTTTAAACTGTGCCCCCTAGTTCAATACTCCCCAGTGAGAGGAAACATCATCTCAGCATCTATTCTGTCAAGCTTGCTCAGAATTTTATGTTTGAACAAGAACACCTCCCAATTTTAAAACTCCAAAGAATATCAGCCCAGCTTGTTCTACCTTCTCTCAGAAAACAGCCCTTCATCTCAGGAATTACCTAGTGAATCTTGCTTGAACTGCCTCCAAAGCAAGTATGCCTCTTCTTAAGTAAGAGAGAGCAGATATAGACACTGGTAACAGTAATCTTGGTACTGTCCCACCAATGCCCTGTGTAGCTCGATCAAGACTTTCCTACTTGGATAGCCCACCCCCCTTACAATAAAAACAACATTCCAATTGCCTTCCAAATTACTTATTGTACCTCAGTGTCGACTTTCCATGATTGATGCACACTACGCATTGATTTGATTTATTGTCACATGTACCTGAGTACTGTGAAGAGTTTTGCTTTGCATGCAGTACAGGCAGATTATACCATGCAATGTATATTAGGGTAATAGAACAGAGCGAAGATTGCAATCTTATTGTGCACCTTCTCTGCAGCCAAGTCGAGATCACCATTAGATTTGAAATTTGAGAGGTTGTTTCAGAAGTCTAATAACAGCAGGGAAGAAGCTGTTCTTGAATCCATTTGAAAATATATACAAACTTTTATGTAATCTTCCCAATTGAAGAGGGTGGAAGACACTATGACCGGGTGGGTGGGGTCTTTAATTAGGTTGGTTGCTTTCTGAGGCAGCAGGAAGTGTAGATGGAGTCAGTGGATGGTAGGCTGATTTGCTTGATGGACTGGGCTGTGTTCATGACTCTCCGTAGTTTCTTGCAGTCTTGGGAAGAGTAGTTGTCAAACCACTCTGTGAGGCATCCATATAGAATGTTCTCTATGGTGCATCTATAAGAATTGCTAAGAGTCCTTGTGGACATGCCAAATTTCCTTGGCCTCCTGAGGAAGTAGAAATGTTGTTGTGCTTTCTTCAGCATTGCATCGAAATGGGTGGACCAGGACAGATTGTTGGTGAGCATCACTCCCAGGAACTTGATGCTCTTGACTATGTCCACCACAGCACCGTTAATGTAGACAGGAGTGTGCCCTCCACTCTGTTTCCTGAAGTCAATGACCAGCTCCTTCATTTTGCTGATGTTGATGGAGAGATGTGTGAACAGATACAGATAATTTGAAATGGATGAGAGGGGCTTAGATTGGGAACGGCAAAGAGTTTGAGATTAGGAGGTAGGTGAATAGGTTGCAATAAGGAGGGAGCAAAGCTGCTTCGTAGTCATTTCAGGAGTCATAGGGTTATGGAAAGCATGGAAATAGACCCTTTGGTCCAACCAGTTCTATCATGAACATGATCCTAAACTAAACTAGTCCCACCTGTCTGCTCTTCATAGAATCCCTACAGTGTGGAAACAGGCCCTTTGGCCCAACAAGTCCACACCGACCCTCACAGCATCCCACCCAGACTCATCCCCCATAACCCATCTAATCTACTCATCCCTGAACACTATGGACAATTTAGCATGGTCAATCCACCTAGCCTGCACATCTTTGGACTGTGGGAGGAAACCGGAGCACCTTGACCCATATCCCTCCAAATCTTTTCTATTCATATTCTCATCTATGTTGTAACTGTGCCTGCATCCCCTGGAAGTTCATTCCACACGCAAACCACCCTCTGTGTTTAAAAAAAACAATTGACCCTCGTGCCTTTTTAAAATCTCTCCTCTCACCTTAAAAATATGCCCCCTTATCTCAAAATCCCCCATCCTAGGGAAAAGACATCATTAACCCTATCAAGGTCACCTCTCATCCTCCAATGTTCCAGTGAAAAAAGTCCCAGCCTATCCAGCCTTTCTTTATAACTCAAGCCTTCCATACCTGGTAAATCTCTTCTGAAGCCTCTCTAGCTTAATAATAGCCTTCCTATAACAGGGCGACCAGAACTGGACACAGTAGTCCAGAAAAGGCCTCACCAATGCCCTGGGACATTGGAAAACAGGCCATGTGAGCACCTTGACACCCTCTGACCCATAGGGACTACTAAAAGACATTTTACTATGTGCAGTCAGCAGCTCCCAATCCCCTTTAACTGCATTCCTGACCCTTGGAGAACCTGTGTAATAACAATGAATTTTAAGTCAAGCTTCTGGTTACACAGCGGGAACACAATTTAAGTATGTTAATAAAGATCACAGCATCCTCATATGACATCTTAGAATTACTGAATGGATCCAGTCCAGAAGGAGGCCATTCAGCCCATCTCGTCTGCAGTGATTTTGAATAAGAAGTGCAACTAGAACCATTTTTCTGGTAGTATATTGTGCCTCACAGCATGTGTGTGATTTGCCTTTAAGATACATGTACTGGATGTCATCACTATACCATGGCATGTGACCTCATAGCATAAAGTTCTCAGTCTCCATCTTACTGAGTTCAGTCCTCTGGCAGCATTACATACTGATGGATGTGTGCTGCAGTACATCCGAATTGCTTAGCTTGAACCCAGACGCGCAAGTGTCTGAGATTGTAATGTACTTATGTGAATATCTGGAGTTGTTATTAAAGTTCATTGAATTCTTCAGTATTACATGACCCACATGATATGTTCCTATTATGGGAGCTGACTTAAGAATCACAGTGTGGTAACTGCAGATCAATATAGGTTGTCATTTCATATCACCCATAGCTATACACATTGTTCCTATTCAGATAACACAATTGCCTTTCTGAATGCCTCGATCAAACCTGCCTCCACTGCATTCTCAGGTAGCACAATCCAGATCTGAATCGTTATGTGCATGAGAGAATGTCTCCTTGTCTCCTTGTCTTCATTGTGTCTTTTTCCAATCTACCTTAAATTTGTGCCCCCTCATTCTCGATCCTTGTATGTCTTGGGTTTAATTTTGGTAGCAGAGCTAGGTTGTTGCTCACAGATTTCTATTGACAGATCAGTCACTGAGTAATAAAGGGGGCAGCCTTCTGAGGAAGAACAATTTTGCCTCTCCACACCTTGATCTTTCTCCCATTCAATACCCAGCAGGCAGAAAATGGCAATTTTGGCTTTGAGTGAAAAAAGACTTTTATTTATATCACATTTATCCTGCCTACCGGACATCTCAAGGACCTTCACAGTTAACGAACTACTTTTAGAATGTGTTCACTGTTGTAAGGATGGAAACATGGTAGCTAACTTGTGCCAGCAATTCCCACAAACAACATTGTGAGAAAGTCCAGATCGTCTGGTTTTGTGATATTGATTGAGGGATTTAAAACAAAATGCTCAGGACAATGGGGAGCACTCCTCTTCTGTGTTTGCCACCACAACTGCAGTCAGAACACTCCCCACCGGTCACCGTGATTATCACTGCACCACAACAGATGCTGAGGGAGCTGCCTTCATCAAAGCATAGGACCATCCATAATATGGAGCATTTCAAAGTGATTTTAACAACTGCAGGAATCTACATTTTTTTCAAATTTACTCATGTTTCTCGGATGTGCAGAGCCTCAATGCGATCTTATTCTGTTAACTGAATGTCATGGTTCAGGATCATAATTTTCACAACGTGGGTTGGCAAACTGGGGGGATGGTGAGGGAACCAAGGTGGTGTGGGGCAGCGAGCTAAACACAGGATGATGAACCAAGCTGGGGCAGCAGGTTGGGAATGAATGGGGCTGTAAGTGCAATGATTGATGTCAGTGCCACCACGAACAGGACTCGGTTTCACATTTGATGTGGAACACAGGATCATGGAGGTGGCATGGGGTGTCCGCTTTGATTCCACTGTACTCACGTCCTGTGGCTTGAAGCCGAATCCTTAAAGGCAAGAGCCAACTGAGGCATAACTGACCAGGAGAATGAAAGCAAGTAACTTCCATATTTTTAAGATTTTCATCTTTATGAAGGGATTTCAAGAGTTGTGTTGATGGATTGTGTTTCAAAACCAAATCTCTCGGTCTGTTTAAAAATAAAAGACCACAGGTTAAAGGCACTAACATATGCGAATTACAGGTAGATCAGTTTGAGGCACAACACCATTCACAGTCTTGAATCGCCATCAAATCTGTGGTGAGGACAATTAAAATCCATAGAGAAATGGCATAGACTTGTTGGAAAGGGATTGGTTTCAAAAGAAAATCTCCAGACCAGAAACTTTCACTATCAGATTCCAAATGATCAGAAATAGAAGGATTAAAGGCAGAAAGTGGGGTGGAACAAAAGATCACAATATGCTATTGTAGGCCTGAATTTAAAAGCAAAATATGTGACAGCTCTTGTTTGACACTCAGAAGTAACTAAGAGTGAGATATCTCAATGCCAGCTGCCCTGGGTTCTGGGTGTGTGTAGAATGAGTTAACACTAAATCAGTGCAGTGCAGAAAAGGTCCATTCAATCTATAGTGAGTGCACCAGCTCAATTATCTAGTCTGGTTCTATTATTTAGTGCCAATTTCCTGCTTTTCCCACATATCACTGCACACCGTCACTATCCAAAGAGAAAACAATATCTTGTGAATGCCTCAGTTGAAAATTCACCAACTTCCATGATGTGATTTGAAACCGTATCCTCAGACCTGGTGTCCTGGATAATTAGTCCACTGACAACACTAGTGCAACACCTCACCTCAAGTTCAAGTACCACTTGCTCCAGAGGCGTGTAATAACATTTTTGAGCAGGGTAATAAATCTAAGAGGAGAGTGGGGTAGGCTGAGTTCTGTCAATAGAAACAGTTTCCCTTAGCAGAAAGGTCAGTAACCAGAGGAGACTGACTACAATTGGTAAAATTACAGGGTAAGATGAGGCAAGTTGCTTGTTCATGAACTAACTAGGTTATGATCCAGAACACACTGCCTGAAAGGGCAGTGAATCACATTCAATAATAACTTTCAGAAGAGAATTTGATGAATTGTTGAAGGGAATTAATTCCAATGCAATGGGAAGAGTGCAGAAAGTGGGACTAACTACATTAAAGGACATGATGGGCTGAATATTCTTCCTACATTTCTGTGAATTTATTCTGTCTCTGAGAGTGTTCCACACAGTTGCATTGGTTTCTCTTGAGTTGAATGTATTCTGTTGATTATATTTGATGAATTTTCTCTCTCTCTCTTTAGGCTTCTAAAGGCCATGCGAGTGTCCAGTGATACTGTTGTGGAATTCCGTATCAAATATTATTGTCTCTTGGCGAGCAAACCTGAGTGATGTTCTCCGGTCTCCCTCCAGAACCATTTGTATGACACATACTAACTTCTGTCAGCGAACCCTCTGACTCTTCAGGGATAGGATTTCAATTAGAAATGGGATCCAGTTTTAAAACAAAAAATACAATAAATAGATGGATTCTTTGAGATGAAAGATGGCTATTTGAAAATCCATTTGATGTGGTCACCCAAAACCATTTTTTAAAATATAGACTAAACATGTGTCCCCTTTAAACAGCTCACATTCTTCAGATTCTGTCTCTTAAAAAAGGATGAAAGTATTGTCCTATGACCTCTAGGGCCGTGATAAAACTCCGCACTGTCGACACCATGAGGGTTATTTTGGTTAGGAACTTGGTCTCTAATAGTGTTCAATATACCCAGGCTGTAATATCAATTGGAGGTCTAAGTTATCTGTTTCAGTGCACATTTAAAACATATAGGAATCTGAGGGGACTTGTCAGGGTAGATGCTGAAAGGATATTTCTCCTGTAGGAGAGAAGTAGGTGAAAAATGAGGGGGCTGTCCCATTTAAGATGGAGATGAAGAGGAATTCTTTGATTAAAAAATCCTCTTCTCCAGACAGGACAGAGGTTGGGTCATAAATGTTTTTAGAGAGTCAAAAGGCATTGAAGGTAGAGAGGAAGGTGGACCGAGGCCACAGTCAGAACAGCCATGAGCAGCACTGTGGCTGAGTGGTTAGCACTGCTGCCTCACAGTACCAGGGACTGTGTGGAGTTTGCACATTCTCTCTGTGTCTTCATGGGTTTCCTGTGGGTGCTCCAGTTTCCTCTCTCAGTCCAAAGATGTGCAGGTTAGGTGGATTGGCCATGCTAAATTGTCCTAGTGTCCAGGGATGTGTAGTTGGATTAGCCACAGGAAATGCAGGGTTACAGGGACAGGGTAAGGAGGTGGGTCTGGTTAGGATGCTCTTCAGAGGGTTGGTGTGGCCTGTTTCTATACCCTGGGGATTCTGTGATTCTATAAAATGACAAAGCAGGTCAAAGGAGCCAAATGGCCTTCTCTTGCTTTTAGCTCTGCTGCATTTTAGCTTTTATGTATGAAATGGAATGTGAGAATTGGCCACGCAAAGTGTGCTGTTCATCTGGAGCTCACCCGGTGGAGGGGAGGGTATTCAGATTGGTCGCAGTTGGGGGTGATGCTTGGGAAACTTGAGAATGCAGCTTAAGAGAGGGGACTGGAAGTAAGAAAGGTTAAAGGGAACAATGTGTTTCAGCAAAAGAGATGTTTATGGACATGTACAGCAGTGAGGATATGAAACCCTGGATGCTTCAGAGATTCAAGTCTCATGATTTGCTACCAGTTTTTCCTGAATGAAGTTAAAAGTTTCTCTGACTAACGTTCCTACCCATGATCTCAATCAGACGTGATTTATGATGTGGTTGAGGTTTTAGACATGGGAGAACAAATTAAGAGGAAAATGGTGTTGGAGAACTGTGTGTATGTGAATTAGCCTCTGTTTAAATGTTTCAATTCACCACCTACATTGTATCTTCCGTGGGAGTGCTGGAACACAAGAAATTGCTCGCATTTATATAGCGCCTTTCATAACCTCAGGCTGCCCCAAAGTCTTTTACAGTTAATGAAGTGTCATTGCTGTTGTAGTATAAGAAATGTGACACCAGTTTGAGCACAAGATACCCAGAACCAGTAATGTGATAAGGATCAGATCAATGTTTTTGTGACATTGTCACATCTGATCCTGTGAATGAGCTTCTGACCTCATGTTCCTGTTGTTGTTTATCGTGCTGATTTCCACCTCCATAACTTCAGCCACCCTCGCTTCTGTCTCAGCTTATCTAGCATTGGAATCCTCATTCATGACTTCGTCTTACCTACTGCAAAGCATTCCCACGTTCTGCTATACATCCGCCCTCTGAGACGGCTGTACGCCTCCACTTCCGCCGTCTTGACCATATTTGGCTCCATCACTGACAGCCATTCCTTCAGCTGGGGGCCCAAGCTCTGGAATTCCCTCCGTAAAATCTCTCCATCGTGCTTTCCCCCTTTAATATCTTCCTTAAATCCTGCCTCCTTTACCAAACCTTTGGCTTTCTAACCTAATATCTACTTCTGTCGCTCAGTGTCATACTTTGTTCTATAACGACCCTGTGAAGTTACTTGGAGCCATTTAAAGGCAACAGAGGTTACTGTTGGTTGAATGTTGGTCAGAATGATGGGAAGAACTCCCCTGCTCTTTACTGTGGGTGCTGTGAGAGGGCAGGCAGAGCCTTGGTTCAATATCTCATGCATGATATATCCTCTCTGACAGTGTGGCATGCTCTTTGCACCCCACTGGGAGAATTGGCCAAACCCAAGCTCTCAAATCTCTGGCTCGGGACTTGTATCAGAGGCAAACGTCACACCCGTTGAGTCGCAGTCTAAATTAAGGTCAGTTTGAAAGCTGACACTGGTGAAAACTAATTCCCAATTTTCATCCTCTCGCTGCTTCATTTTCAGGTGGAAACAGAGGGGCCAGATTTTCTGTGGGGGTGGGGTTGACCCTTCACTCTGTTTCTTTTTGTGCAACGAATGAGCTCTGCATTTCTGACAGAAGATTCCGATCGGAGCTCATCCAAAATGCAGAGCCGTATTTCCATTCTGACGAGTCCCTCGTAAGCGTAGAACAATCAGGAGAAGGCAAACGCCTGTTTTCATAGCGGTTAGCTGCTGCATTCTGAAATGTAAACATCTAGAATCACAGACAAGCCGCCCAAGGTGGTGGGAGGGGCGTGGGGGGTAACAGCAGAATCCTCCAGATTCTCCATTTAAATGGAGACCTCCAGGGAATTCCAGGTGTAATGAAATTCCCAGAAGTATCTTCAGTTGCCCAGGCAATTCCTTAGTCTGCTATGATAAGGATTCCGCAGGGTCCCCAAATGCAACTTCTATCAACACTTAAGAAACAGTGGTCTGGTGGTCGGAAAATCCAGGCGTTGGGCGTTGATGTGGTGAAACTTCGCTCCACTCGTTTCAATGTGTGAGCATGTCCGCAGATTCTCCGAGGAAATGTTTGATGTACTGACCTTGGGAATGCCTGTGCTGGCACGGTATGTTGCACTGTTTGCTGACAGCTAATGAGGTGGTAGTTCCTCTGAAGACAGCCAGCACAGCAACTTTAAACAGTGATTACGTTCCTAACTTCCAAAATGGTTCACTCAGAGACACAAAAGCTGTTATTTAAAACATTGCTTATGCCTGGGCTAATGTCTCAGGAAGGATTTTTGCAAGTTAGCTTGACAGTGGACAAGTGTTCAAAGCGAACACTAGGACCTAAGTACGCAATCCAGGTGGATGTATAGAGATGCACTGGAGGAACATCATATTGTTGAATTCATACCTTTAGCTCGTCGAGACAGTTCTGCCATTCAATCAAATCATGTCTTATCTGTGACCTAATCCTATAAACACACATGAACCTCCTATGCCTTAAAATCTTTGGTTAACAGATTTTTAAATTTAATAATTGATATAGCATTAAGTCCCACGAAGGAAGAGAGTTCTACACTTTCACCATTCAAACATTTGCACTGCACGAGTTCCAGGCAATTTCCAACTGGAGAAAATTTAACCCTTGTTGTTTGATATTCAATGGCTTCACAAACACTGAATCTCCCACCATCAACACCCTGGGGGCTTACCATTGACCAGAAACAGAATTGGCTAGCCACAAAAATACTATGCCCACAACAGCAGGTCAGAGACTGGAGTAATACTGAGAGTAGTTTCAAAATCTCCCCTCCCCCCACCGCATCCCAAAACCAGTCCAGCTCGTCCCTGCCTCCCTAACCTGTTCTTCCTCCCACCTATCCCCTCCTCCCACCTCAAGCCGCACCTCCATCTCCTACCGACCAACCTCATCCCGCCCCCTTGACCTGTCCGTCCTCCCTGGACTGACCTATCCCCTTCCTAACTCCCTACCTACACTCACCTTTCCTGGCTCCATCCCCGCCTCTTCGACCTGTTTGTTTCCTCTCCACCTATCCTCTCCTCTATCCCTCTTCTATCCGCCTCCCACTCTCTCCCTATTTATTTCAAAACCCCCTTCCCCTCCCCCTTTTCTGATGAAGGGTCTAGGCCCGAAACGTCAGCCTCTCTGCTCCTATGATGCTGCTTGGCCTGCTGTGTTCATCCAGCCCTGCACCTTGTTGTCTCAGATTCTCCAGCATCTGCAGTTCCTACTATCTCTAATACTGAGAGTAACTGGTTTGCCCACCATCTACAGGGCACAAGTTAGGAGTTTGATGGAAAAATCTCCATTTGCCTGGCTGGATCCAGCTCCAACAACACTCAAGATGCTAGACACTATCCAAGATAAAAAAAACCTGTTTGTTCAGCCTTGCATCCAAGATTTTAAATATTTACACCACCCATCACTGATGAGCTATGGTAGTAATGTGTAGGATATAAAAGGAGCAATATTAATTCATGAAGGCACTTTCAATGGCATCTTCCAAACCCATGACATCTACCATATAGAAAGACAGGGCATAGGTTTAACGTGAGAGGGGAAAGATTTAAAAGGGACCTGAGGGCAACTTTTCCATGCAGAGGGTGGTGCGTGTATGGAATGAGCTGCCAGAGGAAGTGGTGGAGGCTGGTACAATTACAACATTTAAAAGGCATCTGGATGGATATATAAATAGGAAGGGTTTAGAGGGATATGGGCCAAATGCTGGCAAATGGGACCAGATTAATTTAGGATATCTGGTTGACATGGATGAGTTGGACCGAAGGGCCTGTTTCTGTGCTGTACAGCTCTATGACTCCATGACAAAGGCAATAGAAACATGGAAACACCATGCAAGTTCCCCTCCAAGCCTCACACCATCCTGACTTGGACCATATTGTCATTTCTTCATTGTTGCTACATCAAAATCTTGGAATTATCTCAAACACAGCACTGGTACCATATCTACACCATATGGACCACAGAAGCAGTTCATACTATCTTCTCTAGGTTGATTAGGAATGGGCAATAAATGACAGCCTAGCCTGCAATGCGTGTATCTCACAAATGAATAAAGGAAAAGTTCTACCACCCTTTATGTTTGTAGACATAGCTCCTAATTTCATTCTTGAAGATCTGGCTTTTTTTAGACTGTAGCCTCCAGCCTTAGACTTCCTAACCAG